TAACATTGTGGTGGATTCAGTCCCAAGTCTACAGAATTTTGTTTTTCTCCTACACTGCTTTTGTGATTTTGGAAATTTTCTAGTTAAAGAAGCCACCCCTCTTACTTTTCATATCTTGCTCCTGGTTGAAACCCTTCATCACCACAAATCAAAGCGAACTCTCGTTCTGCCACCACCACCACTACCACCACCACCACCACTTCCTCTCGCTACCGCTCCGGCTCGTCTCCCGTTTCTACACACCATACACATACAGCCTCTTATCGGAGCATGTGCCCCTTCCAAACCCCCTCGGCCATTCGCCTGACCAGTGTTGGCAGTATGAGCAGTGCCATCATCTCTCGTCTCTCTATTTCCCCTGCCACTCGTGATAGCACGATTGCGCTGGCGGTGGCCTGCCATTCTCTCCTCGGGGCTCAGCCAAACTAGTTTAAGCCCATCATTTCCTCGGCTAAACGCCAACCCATCTCTCCGTGAGAACTCCCAGGCCCTAGATATGCGTACGGTACTTCCGTCAAACCTCGGGGGACGATCATCGCTGGGTCGCGCTTGGGTTGCGAGTCGATAGAAGAGGCAGAGGTAGCTCATTGCTTTTGCCGGGGGTGGGTTTCACTCCCGGTGTTGTTTGAGGGTTTGAGGGCTTAAGGAAGGATGAGAAGACTGTGTGGTTGCCGGCCTTCGTATGGCTATTTGGATAAGGTTGGTTGGGTATTATTTTCTTTCTTTTCTGCTCTTGTATGCTGATATGGTGAAATGGAAGGAATAAGAATAAGTATTAACTGGTGATATATGTATGATGGATGATGGTGTTCATTCTCCAGACATTCCTTATTTCTTCCTTTCCGCTCTCCTCCTTCTGAAGATATCTCAGTCAATAAGAGAATGGAGAGGCCCTTTTTCCTGCTCTCACTCGTTTCATCGTCTCACGCCCTGAAATTTCGATTTTTCCTCCCATCTTATGGCCAGCTTTTATATCCAAATCCTCTTCTGTTGTTTGCTATAGATTCTAGTCCACGTAGCAGCTATTTACACTTACGTACCTCCAATATATCCTAGACAATACTTTATAAACACAAAAAAACAAACATCCTCTTTTCTTCTTTGTGCAGCCCAATTCTCTTCCATATGAAATCATGTTCCCCAACCCCCCGTAAATATTGTGTCTATGAATCAGGTCCAAATGATTCGATAATATTCTTTACTCACTGTATTATTGAACCAATGAGTCACATGCAACTGCCTATCCAGAAACCTAGCTAGCTATGTTTACTCTTGTCCCTGAGAGATGCATTGAAAATCACAATATATGCAGCTGTCGACTGTAGGACAGAACACGGGTATCTCTGTGTAAATTATAGCCATAGGCCATGCTCCAGGGCAGGTAGAGAGAGCATAAGAGACGCCTTGTTTACCGGCGTCTGAAAGGCTTCTGAAACTTTCGCCTTCACATGAATTATTTACTGGGTATAGCGAGAGTGCTGGTCTCCCTTTTTTTCCGCTGTATATCGGGTAAATATCATGTTTTTCTGCCTTTCCTGTCATCAGCACTTCTGATTTTTTTTTTTTTTTTTCTCCTGTCTCATACAAATAATTTCCCTGTGTTCTTCTAATTATCCATCTCTTGGTTTATAGTGTTGGTTGTCTCTGCCTTTCCCTAGTTGGTTGCGCATTTGTGTCAAATATATATTTATGCGATAGACTCGGGTTAATATAATTTAACTGAACTGGGCATGTATGCTCCCCCCCCCCTCTCAAAATTGATATATTTACAATAAGGGTCTTCTTTCTACCTATTATCTGACTGCAGAAATTATGAATTTGCGGATTTTTACTTCATGTAACCCTGTATCTTGCTGCCTGTGTCCTTCATCGCTAACACACCGACGAGCCTTAGAATTGCTTTGTTGTTTAGTTGATAATTGATATAAAAATTAATTGTTGTTTGTTAAATTTTCCATGCAAACAAGATCACTGTGGATAGGAATATTTCACTGCTCTATTAACTACCATTATTAAGGCATAAACTACGGAGGAGGGAGTAACTAATCGCGGCTAAACGGTTGGTAGTAGTTTGTAGGCCTCTGAATCTGGATATTCCCCGGCTGGGCATGTATGGGTATACGTAGCTCCAATGTTCCGTCATCTCTGGATGCCGGGCTTGACAGTGAATAAAAATGTGGACAGGGAAGGCTGTAATAGGATTTCGAAGAGAGCATAATGCTCGAACCAATTTTGAAAGATGATCCGGGGGACTAATCTGGTCTATTGTACATGTACAGTGCATAACGACGTATGTAACAACGTAAAGCCGGGTTTCCCAATAAACTCGGAAAAATCATTTGTGGTATCCGGACGCGTATCCCATGGAGTGAAAACAAAACCTAAAGGTATATTACACAAACCCCGGACAGATAGCGAGAAGCGAGACCAAAAAAAATCTCTTGGTACAGTCCATCTATATCAACGCCTGCCCTCTAAACATGGCCTCCCTCACCTCCTTCACAACATCCTTCCGATCCTTCTTGCTAACCAAAACAATTCCACGTCCTCTCCTTCCCATGCGACCCGTACGACCTAGTCGATGGATGAAGTCAATGGTGGTGTGCGGAACATCGAACAAAATAACATTGCGCACCGCGACGGTGTCAATACCGCGAGAGCCAAGATCCGTCGTGACAAGTACCTTGGTATCGCGGAGATTCCTCTGTGGACCCAGGTGTGAGTTCTCACCTGTGGCAAATGGAACTGGGTCCGAGAACCAATTCCTCTTGTTCCGCTGCGCGTCTTTGACCTCTTGGGGGGTGGGGAGTGGTTTGACGTGGGTAAATTCAGCGAGGATCTCATCCTTGCGCTGGTCCGGTGTATCTCGTGAAAGCGCGGCCGTATGGATGCCCTTCTGGCTGAGGAATGCAGCTACTTCCTCTGTTGTTTCGCGCATCGTTGACGAAGACAATGATATGTTTTGGTTCGGGGAAGAGGAA